CAACGGCCGACGCTCACTTCGGCATTGGATAGTAGTGGGAGCGGTAGTAGCCGCGCGATTGGCTCGTGCCACTTGGAGCGGATAGGGAAAGGGCAACCCCTTCGCGAGGGGAATGCATCTCATGACGGCTGAACCTACCCATCTACGTCGATCGCAACGAATATTACCGAATTCTAGTACTCGGTTTGTGCTTCGTGATTGCGCTCTACAATTTTTCCGTGTTGCCGATCATTTTTTTCATCGTGACTTCTAGTTTCGTCAATTTTCTGTGTCCGTCAGCCGATCAGTAGTGTGACGTATGACAAGTAGTTGAAATTTTCGAGCATTTCGTCCAAGTTCTCTCGCGAAGAAAGAAATAAAAAGAAACCGTAGCGATACGCAAGAGGCACGACAGACGGCACCAGAGACGGTGGTGAATCAGAGCAGCAAGGACGTCGGATGTACCCCACTGAGGAATCACGACAGCATCAACGACAGCGGCGACAGGTGGGAGTAGCGCCGCTTCGCATAGCTGACTTTTATGAGAGTAGGGAGCGTCGCGCAATATTTCGCGTAACCGACGTCGTGCAGGGATCGAAGCTCGGTTATCGGCAAATTTGTGCAAACCCAGTGAGTCATCGTTAATTACCAAGCATACTGTGAGATCGCTACTGTGTGTCGAGAGAATCAAAGATGGACTCACGGATTCAGGACGCCCTTAACGATATCCTTCTTAAGAGGGATCACGACTCCGTTGACGATTTCGAGCATCTCGGCCACGACGGATCACCGGACGATCGTTCGGAGCCTCAGCAGCCTCAGCAGCCTCAGCAGCCTCAGCAAGCGTTATCACAATCGATTGACGCGCCACGTGTCGATGATCTGCTGCATATCGGCGATTCTTTTCAGCCATCGGACTCTGCGTTGTCCAACGCACTTCTCGAAACGAAGCCCGTGCCGGCGACACCGCCGCCTTCCGCGGATTTTGACAAATGTACGGCCATGGCGCAGTCGTCCGATCCGTTTCAGCAGCCGCTGAATCCGGTCGATCCTAAACTAGCCAGCATGGCATTCGTCGAGACCGAACGAATCTATCGTCAGCAGATTCATGACGATAACCACGATGACAACAACGATGACGACAACGATGATGACAACGAGGAGAAGGAGATAGGTCTTCAGCAGCCGCCGTTGTTACCGAGTTTGGCCGCGACCACTATTCAGTCCGATAGTGATTTTCCGCTATCATCGGCAAAAACTGTCGATAGCAAAATTCATTCGACCGAAGAACATGGAGAGGATGCTACTACCGCACTACCGCTTACCGATCACGGAAAGCGACACGAGCGTGATGTCATTCCACCGAGTAGCATCAGCATCGATCAAGATTTCGTATCTAACATCAAGTCGTCGATGCTACCTGCACCGGAGAAATCACCACTAATAGATTTTCTCGGAGACGATGGCGAGTCATCGAGATTGGATAAAGCTAAAAATATTACGGATGATGATTCATGGAACGTGGTGGAGAGAACAGACGTAAAGGGAGAACAGTCAATGCCATCTGAGCCACCGATGAAACCGTTGCCTCCGTTACCCAAGGAGGCGCAACTCCTGGAGAAGACACACCAGGACGGTGTGTATGAAACATCGAGTGATTTCTTGGCCGCGGAAGTGATCAACCCGTTACCCGCATTACCGCAGCAGATTGCAGACTCGAAGCACGAAAATGTTAAACGACGCGAAACGTCAAAAGGAACCGATCAACCGCCGATCTCCTCTCGTCTAGTTGGCAAAAAAAACAAGAAATCGAAATCGCACCGAAAGAAATATTCAGAGACATGGGATTGGGTAAGTTGAGAATCTTTCTCCTTCATTTTGTTTCTCAGAGATTAATCGCTGCAGTCTCGTTTAATGCTTTAAGTTTAATGTTTTAGAGAAAACAGAAAAAAAAAACAGCTTTGCAACTTGTAAAATTCTTTAATATGATTTATTGATTTATACATTTGATTTATACAGACCAAAGAAACCATGAGAAACTGAAAACGAGAATCGATCGTATTAAGGAATTTTACAATTGTAAAGCTGCTTTTTGTGCTGGACGCAGCCAATGATCGATTCGGTCGATGATGCGTCATTGCGACTGAGAATCATTTTCAAGTAATGTACGCAATATACTTCTTCTCCATTAGAGGAGAGATTTAAAGCTTTTTTATTCTGTTGTTATTCTCTTATTTAGCGCGACTTTCCTTCTCTAAAAACCGCAACTTGTTAACTTGTCACCAGTTACCTTGAGAATAAGTTTAAGAGACTTCGTTTTTGTTTCAATAATACAAGTATTTTTCTATACAAAGTTATTATATAAGCAAGTCAGGGAATTGAATTCGATCTTTTGTTTGACAAGTGATTACTTTAGGTACTAAGCTATCCAACATCTCCAACATCGTCCATTCTACGCGTCTATTTCTCGCGTCTATTTACTTTCTGCCAAATTAAATTTAAAGAATTTGAAGTCGTCAAAGATTAAAAACAATTTTGTAATATATTATTATATTAAGTAGATTTTATTTAAACGTGTTAATTTCTTTTTACTTGTATATGTGATTATAAGAAAAGTTAAATGAAAAAGGAAGTGATCTGAAGTTAGTGTATATAATAATAAAATTAATAAGTATAAACAAGATTACAAACAAGTTAACAAGTAAATTTAAGTTAAAATGTCAAATTTTATTTCTGAATACGTTATAATGATGACACTTGATGACACTTGATCGAAAAGCAATGGCACAAATATCTCAACAGGATTTTATACAACCGATGCGTATAAAATGCATATGCATCTAATATTTTTGAACCAAAAGTCTTGACGAGGACATGCTAATTAATTTAGTAGCGATACACGAACTCGACCATGCTTGGAAATACTTCCGCTTGGTTACAGCGCATACCATTTAACGTGATACTTGCTCAGCTATCTTTCGTGTGTTGTATGCGCGATTAAAATAGCTGTAACCTGCGTACTTTTTTCTCTATATAACGTTACGCTCTACTTAACAACTAAGGAATAATGGCATTCCACGGAGAACATCGACGCGCAGAAAATTGATGATGTCGCGACTACTAACTACAGGTTCTAACCAGTTACAAAGCGATTAATAATAATCGCAGATCAATACCGGCAATATCGAGCGATAAATCGAGCGACTTTTGTAAGAAATTGTAATTTCGATTATTATTAAATATTTTCTTATACAATTTTTAGGATATTAGTACGTTAAAGTTAGTTGTTAGGAATTAAAAACGATCGTTTTCTCTACGTCTCTAACGAATAATGGGAATTTATGTCGAGAAATTACAATATTATGTAATTTTGTCTTCTTTTTAACCAATAAACGTACCGTTCCGACAACGTACGACTGATATCATACGTTGAGATCACGTCCTGTTACGTACGTTAATATCGATCCATAGGAGGATACCTTTCGGCTCCCCTTATGCGTTTATTGCGTGTCCTGTGAAAACCAACAAGTGCGTTGTAAATATATTCCGATATATTATACACATAAGGATATATTTTTTCCTAGAGAAGTACATCTTTTTTCTCACACATTATACACCGGATTGTTCGCTCTTATGTGACATGTTTCTATTATTTACGAGAATTACATGAAAATTTATATAGATGTTTATTATTGTTTATTCTTGTAATAGAGGTTTTTAATAAAAAAAAAATGCAAATAATTGGCGGCAAATAATTGACGGGAAGTTGTTAAATTTGTTGTTTCTGATAATAAAATTAAAAATTGTTGAGAAAAGAGAAACAAATTGACGAATTGACTTATTGTATGGGACATATTCTTCAGTTTAGATTTATTTGATTTTTTATGTCATCTGTAATATCTAAAAGAACTTTGCGAAATTGTACTCGGGATTCAAGTATATCCAATTGTATTCAATTCGGTATATTCAATTGTAGGATATCTTTTGTACTGCAATTTTTTGAACTAATTGTCAGTTAAAATGAATTTTATTTAAATTGAAATTATTTTATTGAAATTGCGAAATATCAATAATTTCTGGATAATTAATGATTAACAATAAGCTACATTTAATAAGCAAGTGAAATTCTTATTCAAATTTAAGTATGTTTATTAAAAATTTTTTATTTAATTTTTATTTAAATTTAATCACAAAAATACACATAATAAAAAAAATTTTGTATTTGTGTTAAAATCAGTCCTTAAAATTTTTGCGTTAAATAATCTACATATTTATGTGTAAATTTAACACATGTCTACTATGTTAACTGACCTTAACAAATATAAAATGTAAAATTATTAAAATGATTTAAGAAATGTGTTAAAATAATACAATTCGTACGTATTTATTCAATATGTTAAAATTTACACAAAAAAATGTTGGTTTTACTTTATAATAGGAGTGGGGTTAACTTGTTATTATTCTTTGTGTGGTTTCGGCACAGTCTAAATTCTTGACGCGTCTCGACATGTTATTTTATCATAAAAATTATTAATTGTAACACATAATTAACTTCAAATTAAGATCAAGAGTACATTTCTTTTTTGTTGAAATATTAACATAGTCGGTGTTATTATTTAACACATCCATATTATGTTAAATTAACACAAAATTTTGAGTGAACCGTTTGGGACATGTGATTTATGTTAAATTCAACACATTTTTTCCAACAGTGTATATATTAATAATTGAAATTGCTTGTATAATATAATAATCTGTAATGTAATGTAAATTTCTTTGAGTTTTACTGAAAAATATTGATTTTTTTAAATTGGTTAAAAAAATGTAAAGAGAGAGAGAGAGAGAGAGAGAGAGAGAGAGAGAGTGTGTGTGTGTGTGTGTGTGTGTGTGTGTGTGTGTGTGTGTTATTATTATTATA